AGGAGTATTTTTGTAGTTAATGTTCAATTTTTATTAAAATAATATTTTCAATATTTTTGGGGTTTCAAAATTAAACAATAAATATTTCTCCTTAAAAATGGCATTTAAATATTTTTAATCGATGACATAGTTTTTCAGTAATAGCGTAAGAAATTTTAAAATTGGTATTGGATGAAATAAGCTGAGAGTCACTGTATATAAGAATTATATTTTCCTACTTTTTTCACGTTCACGAATGTGAATCACCAATAATGTGACACCAATAATGTGATAACAACAACAATCATTAACGAGATAGGTGCAAACCCAGTTTTTTTTAGTTTGATTTTATTTAAAATTAATTCAATTTTTCACAAAAAAAATATAAAACAATAGAAGCACTTAAAATTCTAAATCTTCCTTTGCCTGTTCACACGCTCAATCACAACCAATTGCCTTCACTTATAACTCACAACTGAAGTGAAAAATTGAAAAACAACAAATATGTTTTTAAACAAATTCAAAAATTCTACATTCACAATAGATAAGATAGCGCTTTTGAATTGCTTTTGAAACTTTATTTTTTATAACATTTTGGCACTTGAATACATGCGATTTTACCACGATAACATCAAATTACTCTCTCTTTTGAGGTTGCAGTATAATAATTTCTTACTACTTGCAATCGTGAACACACTTTGTGCATATTAGTCTTGAGAATATTAAAAAGTTGCCCACTGGTAGGAAAATTCAAAAAGTCACTGACTTATCAAACCGCCCTCGTATGTGGATGATATTGAAGTAGCAACTGAAACTTTAAAAGAACATATACATACCTACATTAACTTAGGTTTTTCATCATTTGGCTGAGGTCGGTTTGGAATTAAATTTCAAGAAATGTAAGTTTGATAATGAGACCGCCGAGTTTCTGGGTTATTAAGCAGGTGAAAAGGGTATTTTACCAAACAGCTCTCATTTGAAGGCGATTATGCACCATCCAATGCCGAAAGCATTACGGGACAACCGTTCATGTCTGGGAATGTTTTCATATTTTCGCAAATTTATTCTAAACTTTGCTAAGATAGCATATCCGCTGCAGCGCCTGCTTAGGTCCGGTGTTGAGTTCTGCATTGATGAGAAAGTCAAAGAAGAGTTTAGATTATGAAAGCAAAGTTCATGACACCACCTGTCTTGACCATATTTAATCACACTAAAGAAACCAATTTGCACACTGACGCTAGCAAGTTATGTTTTTGAGCAGTACTTTTGCAGCGACAAAATGATGGAAAATTTCATCCGGCATGTTACGAGTACTATTCCAAAGAGACATCGTCAGAGGAGTTAAGAATGCACAGCTTCGAGTTAGAAACCTTGGCCATAGTGCACACTCTCAATCGTTTTGAAAACTATCTCAGAGGAATTCCATTCAAAATATTTACTGACTGCAGTGCACTATCACTAACGTTAGAAAAGAAAAACATCAGTCCAAAAATAGCAAGGTAGGCACTTTTATTTGAGCACTTTGATTTTAGAATACAACATCGAAGCGGTATTTCAATGAGTCAAGCGGATGCATTAAGTCGATTTTTTAAAGGTGATGAAACAGAAGCGGAAGATTACTTCACGAGAATTAAAAATAAATTTGTTGCAATGTGTACCTACTCTGACGATGATAATGATACTAAATCTAATAAGCCCGGTATAATAAGAATTCCATGTAAAACGGTGGCTGTTGCTAAGCAGGAAGACTTAGATTTCAATATACAGGTTTTACAAAACCGGGATAGTGAGATGGGTTGGTTTTTAGAGTAAAAACAGATAATAATTTACAATTATATATTCCAGCTGAAATGGAAGACAGTGTTTTTCGTCTCGTTCATGAAAAGATGTGCCATCATATGAAGTTAAAGATAGAGAAGTTTATAAAAAATTGTTTGCGTTGTATGATTTGTTCTCCACCAGGACGTGTAAATGAACACAATCTTTACAACATTCCAAAAAACCTGTTCCGTTCGACACTATTCACGTGGATCATTTTGGACATCTGCCATCAATTCAATCTGTGCGAAAACATCATAGTGTGTGTTGTGTGTAACTTACGTATTTCTCTAAGTACATATAAATAGTAGGTTTACGTCCTTAAATAATAAATATGTTAATATATTATTTGTTTACATACTATTTTGAATCATTTGTGAATCATACTATTTGTGAATCAAAAAGCGATCAAATTTATCTTCTGGATTTATTAGTATGTATAAATGACCAATTTGTGCTCATTCCTCCAAATAGGTACAATACCGATACCGGGATTGATGGGATGAACGTTTCAAAGTTTAGGTTCAGTTTGATAGTTGTCACAAAGGTCCTATTGTCTAATTATGAAGTCTTCCTGATGTGTGGTCAGTAAATAGTTTTTGCTTGTTTTGCAAATTTAAGTATTGTTACGACCTCTTACCAAAATTTTAAATGCGGTTTTTCTACAAAACCAGGATTGCAACTATTACATACTCTAAGATTGGTAGATCCTATTGACGATTGTCTTAAAAGACATGCTCCATTGATGTATGAATGATTAATTTACAAAAATTAAAGACAAAAATATTATTGATTTAGAAAAGTTAAAATGTAATTATGGTAACACTAACATATATTTCGAATTTCTGTAGGTTTTCAGTGATGACGGTATGCCGACCAAAGTTTGTAGTGATTGTCGCTTGATGTTTGAGTACAGCTATTCCTTTAAGCAAATGTGTAAACGTGCAGAAACTCTACTACGGCAGTATCCACTCACTGGTAAATGGCCGAAACCATTACAAAAACCAACGCCACCAGATCTACAAACTGTAACAAAATCTACAACCAATAAGGAAAGCAAGACTATTTTGAACCAGAAACCAATGCAAATAAATCGTACTAATAAAAATTCGGAAAACAATAAAGATGAACAAACAAAAATTGTCGTAAAGAAATTGCTGAATGCAGATCCCGCAGATTCTCCTGAACCGCCGGTACCGATACGCATAAAAAAAGAAAAACTTGAGTTTGACGCTTTAAGCATAATGAACAAAATAGAAAATAATGATGAACTCTCAATAGATGATGTACAGCGTTTTATTGATTCGGATGGTTTTGCTGAAGAAACCCCTAAACCAACGGGTAAACCAAAACTTTTAAATAAGTCCTCTATACGCATTTTGAATAAGGATGTAGAAATCGATATTGAGCCGCTATTAAGCAGGCCACAGGTAACACGTGATGAAGATGGTAACGTTGCTATTGTTACAGAAATACTAGTACCAAGCGAAAACTATGAACCAGAAGATGAACTTATCAAACAAGCGCGACCAGTGAAAACAAATGTGTTTCCATGTCCAGAGTGTGAACGCTCATTTCCGCTACGACAATTGCGTGATATTCATATGGCCAATCATGTTCGCGAACGCTGTTTTCAATGTCCTGATTGCGATAAATCATTCTTCTCGAAGTATGACTTGCAGAAACACAGTGTGATTCACACCGGATATCGTCCTTTTAAATGCACAATTTGTGATAAAGCGTTCACACGTGCTACTTTACTATATCGCCATGAGAAAAGCCACACTGATGTACCTAAGCATTTATGTGTACATTGCGAGAGACCGTTTCTCTCAAAAGAGGAATTGGAAAAGCATACCGAACGTCACCTTAAAAATAGACCATTCAAATGTAAGATTTGTAATAAGGGATTCGCATTTAAGCAAGGCAAAGAACGCCATGAGGTTTGTTTACAATTTTTTTTTTAAATAATTTTTTATTATAACAAATTTTTTTATATTTATATGTGTGTTTTAGGTCATACATTCGAGAGTACAGCCGAATCCTTGCCAATACTGCGATCAGAGTTTTTCAACACCCAGTAAGTTGGCTCGTCACTTGACTGCACATGCTGGATCACGTCCATATCCTTGTAAATTCTGTTCAAAATCGTACTTACTTTCACACCATTTGACTCGTCACTTACGCTCTCATAAACAAGAAAACTATGTATGTCCCATCTGTAATAAAGCTTTCAAGAAGAGAGAATTACTCATATATCATTCCGCTGTTCACGCAATTAAAAACCTAACATGCTCACTTTGTGAGGAAACTTTCGCTACTAGTGAGGAGGTTTCATTACATATAAAACAACACGCCGACAATCCAACATATGCGTGCGTTTTCTGTGACTTACAATTTAGCCTTAATAGTACTCTGGATGCTCATGTGCTCGAGCATCATGCGGAAGACATGCAGGCTTATAATGACGATCCAAAAAGTGATAATAAAAGTACGGAAAATAGCGGCAGCGAAAAGGAGGATAGCAATCCAGAGTTTCAAGAAGCAGTTGAATATATCATTGACGAGTTTCCTTTGGAATGTAGTTCAAATGAACAACAAAATATAATAAAAGTGGAACCAGAAGAAACGGAAGGTAACTTAATGTTCGACAACACGCTAATTTATAAATTTAAAGTTTTTTATTTTTTTGTTTTTTAGTATTAAACGATCAACCAAAAATAGTCAGTCAAATTGTTATACAACCAGGACAAAGTAAGAAACGAGGAGCCAATGAAATTCGCAATACTAAATCTATAACAAATTGTGAAGAGTTTCAGTATATAGACTCAGACGACCCACCAATCGAACCACCGAGAAAACAACCAAAAGTTACTGATAAAAAAATTCCAGTAACTTCGAAGGTGGTAAGACAAAGAAATCCTAAAACGGCTGCAGCTATTACCCAGCAAGAAACTGTGAACTCAGGAAATGCGTCTCCTAAGTTGAAACAAACTACCTTAACTTCGGTTCTAAAAGTTTTACCAAAAGGCATAACTATACGTAAAGCTGGAGGTAGTGAAGTTAGTCCAGTTGCTACTGCAGTGCCAAAGGTTGTGACATCACCAAAAGGTGCTGAAAAGACATCATCTCCAGCAAAGTCAAAATTCACTGAAACAAAACAAGTATCGAAATTAGTTAAAACTTCTCCAAACACACGTGCTAATGCATCACCAAAGAGTATGCCGGCAACTAATAAGAATTCTAATTCCCCAACTCAACAAGCACTTGTAGAAGCAAAGACAAGTACTGGGAGTAGTCCACAAACTGATAAAAATGCTGCGAGCTCTCCGAAAACAAATCAAAAACCATTTACCGAAAAAATTTTGCCCAATGGTAAAAAAGTTAGACAAATGGTAGTATCAAAGTCGGAAGCCGCTGCAATGATGAAAGCAGGAAAAGTTTTTGTACAGAACGGAAATATGATACTTAAACTCAGTCCCACATCGAGCAAAAAGGAAGTCTGAATTTTACTTCCACAAGTACTTTCATACGTTATTTAAGTTTTAAAAAAATTTTCAATTTGCAAATGAATTCACATATATGTTATATACCTACATATATATATGTATGTTGCATCCAATAAGTTTCATTATTTCAGTCAAGTGAATTCATTTTTATATGATATATAATGATATATGATGTATTCTTACATTTGATAATTATATCCTTTATAATATTAGTTTTCATATAGTTTGCAACAGCCAAAATAATTTTTTTTAATTACGTATTGGCTAAATAATATATTGTCGATAACACAGTGCAAAGTAACTTATCATAAATAATTTAATCAATAAAAACTGCAAAAATATTAATTGTACTTTGCTCATACACTTAGATATTGTATATATGCATTGGGTTAGTCATATAGTCTCAAACATTATTCGAACTAATCGAAACACCGTGCATGTGCATCTTGATGTAATTGTTATCGTTATTGTAATAGCCTGTCAACATCTTCTGGTACATTTGCTTTTAGGAGTAGTGAACAATATTTGGTTGTCGAAATTGACATGTGGATCCTGAAATCATGAATGATGAATGGGGTTCAAGTATAGCCTCCGCCAGTTAGCCCGATCAGTTGCTTGCTGTCGCCAGTTGGGCGTACTCAGCGCCCCCAAATCGTTGGTCTCCTGGTCCTTCCACCGAAGATGCGGACGTCCTTTACCGCGTTTTCCACATGCGGGAAAATGTATCAAACAACTTTCTAGTCGGAGCATTTTCTTCCATTCACACGACATGATCAAGACAGCGAAATCGCTGAATTTTTATGTCAATGTCGCGGTCTATCTCATACAGCTCATCGTTCCATCTAATTCGATATTCGTCGCCAATGCGTTAGGGACCATAGATCTTCTGAAGAATTTTTCTCTCGAATGCTCCTAACGCCTTCTCATCACTGTTGGTAGTTGTCCAAGCTTCTGCACCATACAACAGGACAGGCATGATAAGAGATTTATAGAGCGTGATTTTTGTTTGTCGAGAGAGGGCTTTATTGCTTACTTAGCCTGAAGTAACATCTGTTGGCAAGAGTGATTGTTCTTTGAATCTCTAGGCTGACGTCATAATTGGTATTTAAGCAAGTTCCTAAATAAACGAAATCTTTCACAACTTCGAACTTAAAATTGTCAATAGTGACGTGGGTCCCAAGACGCTCAGGAGATTTCTTTGTTGACAGAAAGTACTTTGTTTGCCGCATATGGAAGCAGCATTACACTTTTGTAGAATATTGTGCCAGTACGGTTTAAATCTGCTGCTCGAATTATCGTTTCCAACATTAGGTTAAAGTAGTCACACGACAAGGAGTTACCCTGTCTGAAACCTCGTTTGGTATCAAACAGTTCGGAGTGGTTCTTCCCAATTCTAACGGAGCTGGCGATGTTGCTCAACGTTATTTTACATAGCCGTATAAATTTTACTGGTATACCAAATTCAGACATAGCGGCATAGAGAGTGCTTCTAGACGTAGTGTCAAAAACAACTTTGAAATGAACAAATAGGTGGTGTCCAATAGGTGATAAGGTCCAATCAGTTGGTTGACAATTGACTTCAATCTTACACATAGTATGTTTGACAAAACCTTATATGCTTATAAATATAAGCTTACGCTTATGTCTAATGTAAAATAGACGTTCTTCAAACGTCATTTTATGTTCATGTAAAATCTATTTTAGTACCAAGGCGGTTTCTACATAGTAAAGACGATCCAATCAATTAAAATTTTGATATAGCTGGCATAACAGGTATTGCTTAAATTTCAGGATTAAATTGGATCTTATAACCAAGTCAATTTATATCAATTCAAGGTCTTTGCAAAAAGTTGAGCAGGTGTAATAAGGGGTAAGTATATAATTCAGTTGTGTATTTGCGGGCCTTAATCCATATATAATTTTTGATTTTTCACTGCAAAATCAACCTCATTATAATTGGCGTATCAGAAACTTACTCTTACCGCTGCATTATTATTACTACAAATTATTGAATAATCGATTCAAGATTACTCATCAGTAATTTCTAATATATAGTTATCAATAATTTTACTATGTTTTTGATAAAGTTAATAATTTTACTTTTATTATCAGTTTCCTGTGTAATATCTAAGTATTTGAGTTATGGCGAATGTTTTTTTTTTTGTAATAAATGCATTATAATTTAGTATAGGTAAATATGCTTACCAGTTCTTACCGAAGAACGATACAACGAAAACTTGTTTTCAAAGGTCTATTAGAATTATCCATTATTTTTCGACTTGGGCTGGAAACCAAGTCGCCACGTCACTGCATCCTTTGAGAATTATTGTGACAATAATGTGAATCCATTATACTTTCAACAACCATAAATTTAATTTACAAAACCCATCCAATGCGTTTCAAAAATAGAAAATCTTTTAAGACAACACTGGTCTAAGAATCACTAATATCTTGGTAGGTTCGCCTTATTGCACTTCTTATGTAAAATCTTTTTACGGAATAGTAGTCTTCAGGATCACAACCATCTTGGTTAAACTTACCCGATAACACTTTCAATAGAAAATATTTTTACGGGACGCTAATTATCAGGAATCCATATATTTTGAGTAAACTTAAATCATACATAGAAAATATATTTAAGGTACACAAATTTTTAGGACCATATCCGCTTTCATTTTAGTAAATATAAATTAATATTAAGGACGTGTGCGAGTTAGGCTAAGTTGATGCTAAACCAAATGGGAGATTTTTTGGGATTTTTTGCACTGC